ATGCTTGCCATTTTACACTTAGCTGTTAGGTTTTTCACAATGGGGGTTGGTGGGCGTCCCTTAGCACTAATCACTACTGGTTTCCCCAAAGCTGACTTATTGGTAGTATTCTTCTTACACTGGCTTCTCATATGTCCTTGCTCTCCACAATTCCAACAACCTCTCTGGGTAGCAGCTTTCCTGCCATGGCATCTTCCCTGTGTTGAAGTTTCCGGCATTAAGCTTTCTTGTGCCCAGGTTTATTACAGTGCCAACAAAGTCCCTCCAACCTCTCTGAAAGCTGACCTTTTCTGGCCTTGAACACTGATGACTGTACCAACCTTGGTACCTCTGTGCTGGACTTAACATAGGATTCGAATTCAAAAACTCTAGCCATTGCATCCTGCATAGTAGAGGGGTGTGCTTGCTTTACTTGTATCTTCAGTTGTGGACTATCCAAGGTATCTACAAACTGATCCCTCAGCAACAGCTTGAGGACATCGGGTGGTGCAGTTGGGTTGACCTTGTGTGCCATACTTTCCAAGTCCTGTGCCAGCTCTTGCAGGCTCTCTCCTTTAGCTCGGACTCTAGTCCTAAACCTAACCCTGTAGACTTCGGACTGATTTTGAGTTCCACACTTGAGTTCTAGAGCAGCTACCAGTGCTCTATAGTTGTGCCTGTCGTCTGCTGACAACTGTCCAAGTATTTCCAGTGGTTGTCCTTTCAAGCTTGTTGCCAGGTACACTGCCATTTGCTCCTCTGTCCATCCATTCATTTCTGCCAGGAGCTCAAATTGTGCTCTATATGCTTCCCATGGTGCTTCCCATCGGATTCCTGTGGCTTTCTTCGTATGAGATCACCCCTATTGCTTACACTCATGTCTGGAATTTGACTTCTGACAGGACTGAATATGTCTGCATTAGGATTTAGCTGCAGGGTCTGGAAGGGGCTTCCCATTGTCTGAGGCTGATTAGATCCATGGCTAATATATCCTCCTTGTGTATAAGACAGTAAATCATCCTTTAATGTATTTAATTCACTTTTTAATTTACTAAGCCTGATGATGACACCAGTTTGTACATTTGTAATGAAGTTTGTTTCTCTAACCATTCAAGCTGTCTCCAAACTTTATAGTGTGGCTATCGTTTTCAAACACTTTTGATTTTAAAACATCTTTGGCTTGTATATCAGTCTGTTTCTAGACTTTGTGATATTACTGAATGTTTTATCTCGATATACGCGATAATTTTGTTTGCTACATTTAAAATTAGTGTTGTGACATAATATTGTGGTAGGTACATGAATATAATTCTGGATTTTTTTGTGAAATCAGGTATGCTTTTACTTATTTATTCTGATCGCATTTAATTTGTTCCAGAAATCAAGACTGAGTTGTGAATAGACACGTTACAAAACCCATTAAGGCTAGAAACCTTTTGTCACTGCTTATGAGGTAGTTAGCTCAATTTCAGTTACAAATGTGAGGTGTCTATTTGCAGTTACTCTCTTTTCCCTTTATAATGAGAGTTCTTTCTTTTAGGTAAAGAGAAAATGGTGGAAGGATTGTCATGCGTATGAAATGACTGTATTCGCTGAACGGTAAAACCATTACGATGGGATGACATAGCCAGAAGTCTGTGCTGTTTCACACAAGCTAGTGTTTGGGACAGGTGCGTTCTTACAATATAGTGGTGAATGAATATAATACTTGAAAAATATGTACGTACAATATGATATAAATACACAATAAATCTATACATAACAAATACGTCATGCTTTAGAAAAAGTTGCCTTTGTTCTCCCTTCTTCCCTGTTCCACACAGAAAGTGTCCATGTAGAAAACATGTGCAAATTGAGATATAGTATAGCACATTAGTGGGGTCTGCATTACTTCTGAAACAGGTGTGGCCTTCACCTGAATAATGTGAAATCTAAAGCATGGGCTGTAAAAGTGAAACGGCCACAGTGTCAAAACCGTAACATCATGAGAAGAAACATGGAAGGAGGGACATCTATTCGAAAACTGGTTCTTCCTGCAATACCAGACGCATCTGATCTGGAAATATTGTACGTGCTCACGAGAGTCCTCTGCAAGTGAGGTCCCATATCCAATCATCAACAAGGGAAGAACTTAGACCTGCAAAATCTTCCTGCAGCAGGTAGAAGAGCCTGCATACAAAAACAAGCTGCAGCAAAGAAACTTAATCCCTACAAGATGATGTGTGGGTAAAATACGGTGTTTCCAATAATCTTCTATCTAAAGTTTAATACTTGAAATTTATTGTTGCAGAGAAATGCAAATGAATGCACCAATTAAAATGGTTTTATTTGTTGTTAAGCTCAAAGCTACTCGTTGGGCTATCTTTGCTGTGCCCACTGAGGTATCGAAATCCGATTTTTAGCGGTATATGCAGTTATCTTTAAAACTTTCTCTAAGGAGATCAACAAAATAAAAGTCGCACCTTTAGCTTATTTATGTTTATATATATATATATATGTGTGTGTGTGTGTGTGTGTGTGTGTGTGCTCTTGTCTTTGTTTTTTTAATTACAAAGCTGCACAATGATCTATCAGTGCTCTACACCTCGCGAATATCGAAGCTCGAATTTTAGCGTTATAATTTCTCAGACTTACCGTTGAGCCAAAGGAACGGGAAATACATACTCTTAATGCCATTTGTAATAGTTGTTGCGTCAGCGAGGTCACGTGACTAGTGTCACGCCACGTTTTCTAGAAATAT